GCGTCGCACACAGAAACCACGGTGTTTGCTAGCAGGAAGCTGGTCCCCACACCAGCTCAGCGTGTACCTGATAGGGGGTCAGGCTGTGCAGGGGACGAAGCGGTTTCGGCGCGGGGGCCTGCAGCTGGCCAAGGTAACCCAACAAGGCCAAGTCCCGAAGAACTCTGTTATGTGACTCCCTGAAAAGCAAACCAGGAGGAGATGAGGAGCCCCCCTACATGCCCCCCACCTGTCATAACGTAGATCCATCTGCACCTTGGAACCCGCACACCCTGCCTTTCTCTAAGCCCATGGACACGGAGCAGGGAGACTGTCCTGCCAGCAGGAGCCCACTCTGGACATTCCCACAGGAAAACGACTGACTGCTCGCCCCCACCCCCCGGCGCCACCCAACTGCACTGGGGACTGAAAGTGTTACAGGACTTACTGCTCTGAGGAATTGAGCAGCCACGGAATTCTCCAGCCGCGGAGGCTTACTTACCGATTCCTTGGAGTTTTTCTAAACGCAAAGCACAACTGGACGCACATCAGCTTATGCCCAGAAAATGCCACCGGACTCTCCTTTTCTTCGTCACCGAATTCCAAACTGTCTGCAAATTCTGGCAGGTAGAAGCCTCGGTCTCTGACCTTGGCCTTGCTCTTGGTGTACAAGCCATCCATGCCGTCCACGTAGGCGGGGGTGAACTGTGGCATGGTTCTGCTCCGAGTGGAACTGACCTGAACCACGTGGCTGGGGGACAGCAAGCGGATCAGATCCACGAGAAGCAAGAGGCCCTGATCTGCGAAGAAGAGGACGTCAGCGTCAGTGCCCCAGAACAGGGCCGTGTTGTTCTGAGACAGGGCTCGGCCGGACAATCTCCCCAAAACGGCTCCAGCCGCAGGTCTGAGCCGGGAGCTCACTCCCACGCGTCCTCCCGGCCCCACGGCCTTGTGGCCTTACCTGTCACCCAGCCCATTGTGTTGATGATGAGAGGGGACTCTCTCTTGTAGGAACTGAACACATACTTGATGATCTCAATGTAATTCTCATAGTTGTTTTTACAAGTAGATTTCCCAAAATATACCATTTTCTGTGGTGTCCTCTGGTGGGTGAAAGGCGGTCCTAAGAAGATAGACAACAGTAATGAATCCATGCCCTGGCCAGTGTTCCTCACTGGTTAGAATGTCGGCCCAAGCACCAACGGGTCTCGGGTTCGATTCCTAGTCAAGGGCACATACCTGGGTTGCAGTTCTAACCCCAGAATGGTCAGGGTGTGAGCGGAAGGCAACCAATCGATGTGTCTCTTTCACATAGATGTCTCTCTCTTTCCCCCTCCCTCCCACTTTTTCTAAAAATTCAATTAAAAAAATAACAAAAACAAACAAAAAAAGCAATGTGGGATTCTGGTTTGGATTTTGAATCAGAAAAAGGAGATTAGTGGGTAACCTGTTAATTTTGAATAAAATCTATAGGTTAATTAATAGCATTGTATCAATGTTAATTTCCTGGTTTAGACTGTTGTATAGGGTTCAATAAGGTGTTAATATTAAAGGAAACCGTGTTTCTAACTTACGTATAACAAAAAGGACAGCAGGTCCATTTACTAAAATGGACCCCACAAAGTGTCCGTTTATTTTCTGATTTTTGGAGGCTGGACAGTTATGGGAAGACCATGAGTTTGAAGGGGTAAGCTCGCATTTATGTTTTATACTGTCATATTCTTTGACTTTCTGGTTAAGTATCATTCCTCTCACATCTTATAACACCAGAACGTTTAAGAATCTATAATACGTACCTAGAAGCGGTTCTGTGATATTAAGTAGAGAAATACAGCCCGGAGGAGTAAATTCTGTCTGTCCCAGGTCACATTCCAAATAGTCAACGCAGGAAATACTAAAAATTCAAAAGGAAATCTTAACTAGCTTTACTCTGTGGAAAGGATAAATCAGATCTTAAGGATTTTATGTGCTATAACAGAGGCCCAGCGCACGAAATCACGCGCAGATAGGGCCCCTGGGCCTAGCCTGCAATCAGGGCCATCTTCTGCCCACTCGCCAGTCCCCCGTCCCGCCCTGTTGCCGACATCCACCCCGGTTCCCCATTCGCCATCTGGCGATTGGAGCCTACAGGTCAGGGGAGGGACCAAGAAGTCTGCCTTCCGCCTGCTTGCCAGTCCCCAGTCCTGCCCCGCCATCACCCATCCCAGTTCCCCGTTGGCCATCCAGCGTTGGCCATCCAGCGATCGGAACCTACAGGCTGGGGGGAGGGACCGAGAGGTGGTCAATGCACCTCCTATCAACTGGTTGATTGGTCGTTGGCCTTTTGTTATATAGGATGGTTGTGACCCACCCTAGGCAGGCTTTTGGGTGGACTGCTCAATCCACATACAGTAACGCCTAAAGACATGTGATGGGTCACAGTGCCCGTTCGTAACATGGTACAGCGTCGTCTTTCCTAAAACGTTACCTGTAAAAGGCAATGGAGCTGACCTACTCTGAATCTCGATGTGGACAAATACGGATGCTGAGACCAAGTGACCCTCCCCGAGGTGCACTGACGGGCAGGTCAGCACCCAGAGCCATCACTTAGCCGAGCTGCTGGGCACAGACTTGTAAATACTCTCCTCTGAGAAGTCAAGAGGCATCCCTGTCCAGTTTCCTAAATCCAAACTCCTACTTCATGCCCCAAATCCAGCAACCTGTCAAAACAACACTCTTACCTGTTCAACAGCTGGTTAATCAGGTACCTATTAAATGTTGACTTTCCGACGTCCTGAAAGCCACAGACCAGGATGACGGGGCAGCCGTCTGCTTCCTCTGGAGGTGAGACAAACATGCCCCAGAGTCAGCCTTCTCCCGAGGGCTCTACTCACGGGAACCAGGGCTCTGGGGGAGCACTCAAGCTGATCAACGTCTCGCTCACCACAGGCCACGCTGACCAGCTCCTCCAGGGCCGACAGGAAACTCTCGCTGAGCTGAAGGCCGTTTTTCTTCTTCTCTTTTTTAATGCCCACAGACCTCAAGGCGAAATACTCGGCGTTAATCTGGAAAGTTGTCCTCTGAAATGAACAACGTCAACTTTTAGAAAAGGTGGAAACTAATGCGCCTTTCCCCTCAGTTCTAAATTAATAAGCCTCATGCAACTGTGAGCTAAAGACAAATGTGATCCCTCCCTTTTCCCAACCCCAACCCTTGTCAACTCTCCTCCCAAAGCACCAGCGCCTGTTCCCACAGCTTCCGCTCACTTCCCAGCCGCCATGGCCCTGAGGACACGCCCAAGAATGAACACGCGTGAGTGATTGCCAGAAGGAAAAGGGAACTGGAGGCCGAAGGCCAAGAGCAGGCTGGGTATATGAACGAAGTCAAGGCAATCCTCCAAACAGAGCCAACAGACAGAACATACGCAGACAGAGCCGAAAGGACGTGGAAGGCAGGCCCACGAAGCCCGAGGGCGTCCTAGGAGTACCAGGAAACCGTGGGAGAGCCACCCGAGGAACGGGAGCCCACTCCCGCGGAAGCAGCTGGAGCTGGGATGGAACACACCCCTGCGTGGAAGAGGATCATGGGAGAGACCCGCCCAGGATCACAAGGAAAAGATGTCATAAAAGGAATGAGAACCGCCTGGCAATAAGGCTTGCTATCAGCAGCTCTGCATTCTGGAAAACAAGCGAGCAGGCCTTCAGTTTTGACACCAATGACCACACTGTCTCGGTCTCATGGAGCCCAGTTCTTGGGAGGGTCTTGGGCTCAGACCTGGAACCTTCCAGTTTCTATCGACTCCCTCGGTGCTGTTTTCCCACCGTGAGGCCTGTGGATCCCCTTCTGCTCAAAGCTCCAAATTTACATTTCCAACCTCTTTTCTGAATTCCAGACTCCACATCTAACAGGCACCTAGAAGTCCACACATCTACACCGCTCCTGTAGTCACCCCCGTCTTAATAGAAATGCCAAGCACCCAGGCATTGAGCCCCAAAGGCCTGGTTAGTCCTCGATTCTTCCTCATATCTCACCATCCAGTCTGTCCAACAATCTTATGGGTTAGATTCCATTTATTGACAATTAAAGTAAAAACTGGGCTTCAGGAAATTAGTAACAGGGCCAGCAAAACAGACAGGTGAGAAGAGAGAGCTGAGAGAAAGTATAAGTACATCGAAATTACTCTTTCACAGTTCAGAGAACACTTATACTGTCTCCTGTTAGTAAGTCAAGATACAAGATAACCCTTTTTTTAAAAATGCCAAAAAGCACTTAACCAACTATAATATAAAATGATGGCTTTTGTTGGGGAATGAAACTAAGGGGGGGCCTTTTCAGGATATACCTTTCGACAGTGACTATTCTTACTGAGCACACGTATCCCAACCTGTAGGACATACAGCACAAGGCAGGCTGGCCTCCGCGGGGAGCACCCTACACAGGCCTGTGATCGGACTGTTTTGGTGAAAGTAATTTGCAAAACTCAGAATGAAAACTGGTTTTACCTCTTGTTCGAAAATGTAAGATAAGCCTGGATGGCTGGTTATGAAGTTCACCGTGGCGTTTTTCAGGTTTTCTAGCATCACAATGGAACACAGGGGAGAAAAGTTCTTCATCAACCAACATCTGTCATCTGTAAAGAGAAAATTAAGCTGCCTTACAAACAGCGACTCCATGGAAGGCTCTGCCCTTCAGGACTACCATTTCCTCGGCTGAACTGTGAACTTTTGAGATGGACAGTCTGTCTGAGAGCCTTTTCTCAGGAGGCCACACTGCACAACAGGAACATCCCCGGTTGAGAAGTCAATCCAGGTTTGGCACCTACTAGCTGTGTGTCTTGGGCGGCTTTTCTCCTCTGTAAAACGGTGACAACAATATGGTGATCAGTCGCTCTCAGGACTTTTGTGAGGGCTTATTTTTATTATCCTCATCTGAGGATGTATTTAATTAACTAATTCTTTATTTTTATTAATCCTCACCTGAGGATATTCTTTCCATGGATTTTTAGAGAGAGAGAGAAGCAAAAGAGGGAGAGAGAGAAGGAAGGGGGAGGGGGTGGAGAGACATGGATGTGAGAGACACATCAATTGGTTGCCTCCCAGACCTGCCTGGGGATCAAGCCTGCAACAGTGGTATGTGCCCTTGACCAGAATCGAGCCAGACTCTTCAGTTGGGGTGTGGTGTGCTGCTCTAACCACTGAGAAAACCAGCTAGGGGGGCTGCTAGGCTGTTTAGAGAGAGAGGGAGGGGGAAGGAGAAGGAGAGGGAGTGGAGGAGGGAGGGGGGGAATTAGAGGTAGAGAGAAACAAACATTGATAGTATGTGCCCTGACCAGGAATGGAACCCCCCCGCCCCCATCCTTTGGTATAAAGCAGTGATGGCGAAGCTTTTGAGCTTGGCGTGCCAGCATTTTGAAAAACCCTAACTTAACTCTGGTGCCGTGTCACATATAGAAATTTTTTTATCTTTGCAACCATAGTAAAACAAAGACATATTTTTGATATTTATTTTATATATTTAAGTGCCATTTAACAAAGAAAAATCAACCCAAAAAATGAGTTCGCGTGTCACCTCTGACATGTGTGTCATAGGTTCGCCATCACTGGTATAAAGGATGATGATGCAACAAACTGAGCCACCTGGCCAGGGCTGTGAGGGTTTAAGTCAGTGGTTCTCAACCTTGGCTGCACATTAGAATTATGATTCCCAGGTGATTCTAATGTGCAGCCAAGGTTGATAACCACTGTAGTAGATGCTCCAGTTCTTCTCATTACCCCGGTTCAGATGAGCTCTGAGCAAAGTCCGGGCTTCTCTTTTCATCTCCTTCTTGCTTTTCTCAGACATCGAGTAATGAACAGCACTGAGAGCCAGGCAAGAGTGGGTGTAGGTAGAGAAGACCTCTTGGGAAGGCTGGCCTTGGCTAATGGTGAAACCAAGCACCTGCACCTGGCCATAAAGGCAGGTCACGCGACAGGTCCCGCTAAAAGGAAAAACCTAGCAGGGAAAGAAAAAAAGAAAAAAAAGTAACATTGTGGATTCTTTTACTAATGCCTGAATTTTCCAAAATCTTCATTTTGGAAAATCAAGGTGGCAGGTTTCTAAATAACAGCATACATTGCAGTGGGTGACTTTCAGGTAATTAATGCTTTTTGACCGCAGATGACCTTCCATGCAGCTACAGACAGGAGCACACGGAAAACAAGGGGGTCCCACGAACCCAGCTCTGCTGTCCTCCCGGACCAGAGTCCAAGTGAAGAGCAGGGACCCTGCAATCAGGCTGCGGGGGTCGGATCCGACTACCGGGCTCCTTTGGGGAAGTGACCTAAGCTAACCCTGTTTCTTCCTGTCAACATCCATCGCCACCGCGGCAACGATTCCAGGTGGCTGGGAGCGTTCCATGGGTTCCTACAACCAAGACACTCCGAACACGCAGAGCCTGGCGTTGCTAGGCACCCAGTAAATGCGACCGATTACCAAAACCGTCGCCATTCAAGTCCCTTTAATCACCCAAAGACCTACATCACCCAAAGCGGAGTCCCTCTCACCCTCTGCCCAGCACCACCGCCGGGAGGGCTCTCTCGACTCCCACAGAGGGGCACGGTCTCCCCCCGCCTGCCACCCTCGGGGCTGGGGCTCCGACCCCCCAGGCCGCCGGGCTCTCTG